TACTAAACATTCTGGAATTAATAATTTATTTTCTGTATTTAATTTAGGTAAAATTCCTTCGGTGCCCGGTGCTAAATTAGTTTTTATTCGTATTACTTGTTCTGATCGAGGTTGCAAGTTCACACGGTTAACGATCTTTTGTTCCTGTTTCAGCAAAATCGGTATCTTACTGTTGTCTGCAAATCTAATGTAGTTACTTTGTAAATCTAAGTTGCAATTTAGTGATTTCAGAAATTCAATGCCTAGGATGCCATCCAGAGATATATCTAATGGTGAAACATGAAATTTTATATCTTTTCCTTTGAATGTTGTGGTGATTGAACCTACTGTTTTAAATGAGTCAGCGTTAAGTCCTGAGATTGTTATTCTATCGTTTGTGTTTATGAACTTCTTGAACTCAGATTTGTACTTTATAAGGTTAACGGAGGCGCCGGTGTCAATTAACAGCGTAACTGGAATATTTTTTACTTTTGATGAAATGTATGGTAATATTTCGGTAATAATTTTAGTGGTATTGATTTTAAAGGTACAAAGGTTTTCAAAATTTGAGGGATTTTGATTTAATTGAACGAACAACCCTCTTCTGTTTCGTTCGTTTTCGCGTTTAAATGATTTTCTTCAATTTCCTCATTGTCGGAATCATCAATTTCACTTTGATCGTTTGCAATTTCGCATGTTTTGATCTTGGATGATTCTGAAGGGAAACCTTTAAAGGGTGAGCCCGAAAAACTGGGCCTAGAATGCTTATCACTATAACGTGAAAATTTCGAGGTACTGGGTTGCTGAGAATCAAAATTAGGATTTATTCGAGAATCATTAGTTGGTTCTCTTTTTATAAAAGGTTTTTTAATAGCAATTTTATTAGCTGTGTTAATGCTTTTTTGGGTTTTAAATTGAGTATATTTTTCTTGGTCATCTCTTTCTTTTAGTCTTTTGTAGGCTACGAGTGCATGAGAAAAAGCTACTTCGAGTGTTTCAGCTTTAGTATGAGCTATTGAAATTTCGACATCTTTAGGGATATTGTTTAAGAAAGTGGTAGTAGCGATTTTATCAATAAAATCGGAAAGAACTGTAATAGGATCTGAATCATCAGAAATGTTTTCGGTAGCGGATGCTGTAAGATCGTCTCGTATTTTGGCGATCTTATTATACGTATCTTTGATTGAAATTTTATTAGAATTTCGAAACATTATTAAATCGGATATTAAACCTTCGGAAGAACGTTCTAATCCAAAATTTGTTATCAATGCTTTTTTGATATTTTCCCACTTATCATAGTGTCTTGCTAAAATTATGCGTCCTGCGCGCCCTGACAAACGATTAAGAACAATTCTCAATAGGTATTGCACATCAGAAATTTTCGCATTTTCAAAAACGAAGTCTATCGTTTCTACGTATTGGTGTAACGGTACGTTATCACCATCGAAATGAGGTATTAATTCTAAAAGTTCTCTTCTAGAATAATTTGCATTTTCCTCTAATTCAAATGAGGTTTCCGAAATATTAGGATTCGACATTTTATAAATGTTTATAGAGAATGATACTTAAAAAAGGAAACTACTTTTTAGAGAAAAATTGGTACAAAAGGGGTAAAAGGAAGTGGCAAATAACTTAGACCACCTACCTTGAATATGCTGCTACGGCGAAGATCACCAGGTAGCCAAATCTCATTTGTCCTCTGCGGAAGAAAGTGTAGGCGAGACCAATCGTCTTCTTTTTCGAAACGTCCGGGTGTCCGTAAGAGGCGAAAGGCTTCTTGGGAAACACACTTAAAAATTCGTCAGTCCACAAAAAGTCACGAAACACAGAATGTTATTTAAACTGTCCGTATTCGACTGTCCACAATTGGGCCACGAAACACGGGATGTATTTAAATTGTCTGTTTTCGCACTTTTTCTTTCAACTTACGAATTAAACGGACCCGAATATCCTACTGACTGCGCCAAATGTTATATTCCAAAATTGGAACAAAGACTTTTTAAAAAAGTTTATTAATACAAAGTACAAACAATACTAGGTCTAGTCTTAAGCTAGAATAACTACTCTATTTTATGAACGGCTTTTATAAACTATATCCTGTAAATGCAATGTCAGCAAAAGATGTCTTTATGAATCACACTATATCTTGCCTTAACATACATACATATATATTGGGCGCTGAAATGATAATGAAGCATAGTTTAAACGTTGAAAAAATATGCGGTAGTCTGTAATATATGAAACAGGCAATAATACGGCAAGCTCACAAACATGTTTCCTGGTTCAATGTCAAGTGTTTCGCTAAGTAGTATGTTAGTAATCCGGGGCGCTTACTATTGGAACATTAGCCTTGCGGGTCTTGGCTAATCCATATTATTGCGTAGTATCTATAAATGTATATTTAGATCACTGATACAAAGTTGGTACATCTATATTATTTATTTAAAACTGCGAGCTAACACCTACTGTGTTAGTAGGTCAATTAGCGATCGTGTAAATAGCGAAATCAATAATAATCAGGGGAGTCGAATTCGAGATCACGAAGATCATGGTGGGATAATAACACCTCTAAATAAACATATCAATTCGCTCTTTGTGACAAAATAGCCTCGGTGAAACAGCTTCCGTCCTCAGAATATGCTTTTGGATGTTTTTAGGTAGGGACCATGACTTGAGGAATAGGTTGGCAAGGCATAGTCTCGCTTGCGTTGGGTCTTTCTTCAAGGGTTTGTAGCTTTCCGGATACAAGAGTTCTCAATATTCCTATTGTAGTCTTCGGTCTTAAGAAGAACGGTTGCGTTTCTTCTGTCGACTGGGAGTATGTTGAAATCCTCATTCCTATTTAGACTTCGTAGTACCAGTGCTTCATTTCTCACTAGGTTACTGCTGGAAGACCTTACCTTCCTGAGGATATTAACCGCTTCGATTCGTATTTGTTTGGCGTCCTTATCCGTTAGATGATTGATAGCTGCTTTCGCGCTGGGGATGATGTCTTCAACCGGAATGTTCACTTCAATTCACCAACTGGCCGCTAAAGCCTTTTCCAAATTGCTAAGGTATCAAATTGGAACTCAACATTAAAGTAAATGTTTTTTTAAGAAAATAGAATACGAGTGATGTTCACGGGTTCTAGATATAAATTTTTTAAGCCTTAAACGAATATAAGATTGAATTTTTTCCAGAAAAATAAACATACCTACTGATACAGGTGCAGATTATTTATCTATTATCGGATTAATAATTATGTTGTGCGAATCTCTTTATAATTCTCAGTATAAATTTATAATAAAAAAGATTAATCAATAGCAAAATAAAAATTCTCTTCGTCAGAAAGTCCATACTGGATGCAGGGCTGTAGAGATCGTTTATGTAGTCTGTTTTTTACAAATTGATGCAATTTTAATCTTGTTTTTATATGTATAATTCGTCAAAAAAATGATAAAAGACTGCGTTGATATAATCATATGATTAGGCTGTGTAGGCCCGTCAAATTATGTGCGGCCCGGTTGGATAGGTAGTTGACCTTAGGCAATCTGGAGGAGTGGGAATAAAAAAATATTTAAAGCACAAAATCATATTGTTGAAATGATTATCGTATTACGTAACAATATCAATTACACAAAGCTTGCTTAATTGCACAACGCAGAAAATGTTATTTCGCCGATCATGTGACATGTCATCCTTAAATATGTTTTGAAGCTACGGAGAACAGAAAAACTTTCGCACATGTTGAAGCGAATGAAAGTGAATAAATCGAACGAATTCTGGTGTAAGTCCCCTAGTCTATTAGTACTAAATCTACAACTTGCCTTGGGTTATTTGTTTGCTCATTTCGTGTTTTTAAAAGTTGCAGAAACTTGTTCCTGTCACTCAGGAATCTGATTTTATTAAAATCGCCCTTATAAAATAAAACTATATAGCATTGACGCCTACATATTTACCCACTGCATATCGTTCTAACAATTAAAAAAATCATTTTCTAATCTACTTTTTAGGGATGGAATACGAAAGTCTAAACATCTCAACAAACAATTTTCTAAAAAAGTTTTTCGGGTTCGTGAATTCATATGCGTATCAGCTGTCCCTTGCTCCCCAGATTGATTTGATGCGGAATTTGGGGTTCGTTTAGTTTAAGGTCAGCAACAATTTGAACGATTTTTTGGTATTTCGTAAGATGGTTGTATCATTACGAGAAGCATTTAAAACGTCAGTAACCACTTCTATATTTTTATATGATTCGATCACGCAGAGATCAGTGTAATTAGACCGAATGTTTTTTCGTAGGGTTCGAACTTCAGCTTTTGTTGCATTCCAACTATACCGATAGATGTTTCTTAGTGAACAAAAGTCAAATATGGCCCATGTTTAATACTAAAAATGGTCCCTAACTGTAGATATTGGCGTTTGAAACTATCTTTTAAAATGGTTATTTTCAGGATAGGCCATAAATTTAGTGAAACATGAATCTACGAAGCATTCGTGTTTCTCAATGTAAATCCAAATATACAAATTAAATAATATTCATGTCTCATGTGTGTAATTATAAAATAACGTATAATTCCAGGTGGGTGAAATACCACTATACCCACGTGCCTAGTCTGACTTTGTGTTTCTTGTTTATGTGATTATCATTGACTATAATTGAATAGCCCCCGCATCGACTCTATTCTTGATATCAAATTCAATCCCTCTGAGAACATGTGATGATTGCAATTTATAATTTCAAAACAAAGCAAATTTAAATTGACATTTAAAGTTCAAATACATTGTTGAATGTCGTGATTAATTAATGAATACCAGCGCCTTTCGAATTTTAAGATACCAAATCGTATAGAAAATTCATACGAAAAGAGGACCCGTGTATTAAGGAAAACATGAAATATTTCCATTATTTAAAAACAAAAACGTGATTAGGTTAATTTTACATTCAATCATTTTAAATATTATATTTAATTAGTATTTATTATTTATAATAGATTGTAATTATTTGTTTTGTGACAATCTTGAATTTTGATTTATAGGTTAGGATGTATCCTGGCAAATGGGATTATATGTGTTGTTCGTAGCGGCTTTAGTCTGCTTTGGTAAACTGCATGCTAACTTCCAAGATGCCAAAATTGCAACAATTGTTAGGGACAATGTCGGTGATATTTTTATGGCAGAAGGTAAGCAAAAATTCAATTGTTAATATTAAAAATTAAAATCTTAGAATCAATGGTGCAGATATCCTCAACCACAAAAAATCTGATTGGGTATTGTCCTTTCTAAAATAACTATAAACTGTAAATAATAGTAAGCAAAGAATTCAAGAACAAATAAAACCTTTTGCTGTAGGTCCTAGAACCTATACAAATATTAGTTAACTGACCTTTGGAGGGGCCAAAATATTTTCTGAGGAAGAGGATTTTTATTTTAATTTTGCTTAGTCTTTTTTTATTACAAAATAATTACAATAAAGAATGATACTTACCCTCTATTAGCACAACATAATTATTATCCCGATATTAGAGTTTCAGTAATAATAGATTCCATTTCAAAACCTAACTAATATTACAAACGCCTTAATTACTCAACCGATCACCATGAAATTTTGTACACATATTGTCAGGGGAACAAAAAAGAATGTAGGTTACCTTTCATCCAAAAAAGAGTGCTCTTCTATAGGTATAGAAAAAGTTAGTTTCATAATTCATTTTAAACAGTTACAAATGTGATCTTGAGAAAACCTGACCGAATAAAATAAAGGCATGAGCAACATAGAAATTTTGTCACGGCGCATCCAGGTACCTAAGGAGAAAGCATATCTCTACCTGTTTGAAATGAGCTGTATGTAGTCCCTGGTCCTCGGGCATTTCAACTCGGTCTGCCGACATGAGTAAAAAAGTTTTGTTGAAGAATGCCTTTATTGAGTAAAAGCTTGGACTTTACAATCTGTATATTTTTATCACTCTTTTTCAGCCACGATTGACTAAATATACAAACAAGTTATTTCATTTTGTACAGCTTTCCTTTAAATAAGCAAGATAAGGGTAAAAAGATCTTATTTATTAAACCAACACCACGTTTTGCCTTTTTGTTCGAAGACTTTATCAAAGCTAAAATTACAAAAGCATATAATAACTGCATACACGAAGATATTAAAATACTTACTCGGTTTATCAGTCAACAATACCTACTGTGCAGATGATATAAAGTATGCATTTGGTACATATTGTAAACAAAAAGTAAAATTAACACATAGCAGTAAAAGTTCATCTCAAAACCAACCAAACTTGTAATAGAAACTTGGACGTACAATTAATATAAATAATACAATAAATAAATAAATAATTAAAAGCCACGTGGCGTACATTCACAGTCAAAGAAAAGGGTGGACTACCGAAAGCACCGCTTAGCTCATTAGTAAGCAGAAATAGACTACCGAAAGTACTGAACAAATATTACTGAATGCGCAGTTATAATCCCTATCATTCCGTGAAATAGCATAAACTGTCACGTCCGTCCTTACAATCCGGTAGATTGGTAGGTGGTAGGTGGGTAGGTACACAATATTTATGATATGCAATGCAACATGTATTAATTTAATCGTTGGATATTTAAGTAGATATATGGATTATATAAGGTGTTTCTGAAATAAGTAGCAAGCTTGCAAGAGGTGTTGGGCACTTTAAAACAAGAAAATTAAGTATGTTGATTTTTAAATCTTTGTCTAACAAATATGTAGGCTTTTTCTCGTGTCTAGGGGGGTCTAAGGCTCCGGGTGATTTGATAAATATATAATAATATTAATAATGAAGAAAAAGAACAACGAACATCAAACATCAAAACGAATAACAGAACTAAATATCAGGAACAACTTATTTACAGTGTATCGCATCTTCATATGTACACGTCTTAATTAATAGCCAAAAATACGTCTTTCGTCTTTGATTTGGCAAAAATGCTCCGTCTAAACAAAATGTACCGTCTTACAGCAACGTCTTAATACCTTGATCGTCTTTTACTCTCTCCACTCTGGTGGTCTCTCACGTACCCCAACATGTACGCGAAAGTAAAAATAAATTATCGATCTACCACCACCTAACTGGTATCGCTCTTGCACTTGGGCAAGCAACTGTACATATTATAATAATACAAATCCTACACTCGGCCATCCGACATTAAATCCGTCTCGGATTCATCACCATTATCAACCCAAGGTTTCATGTGTTCTGAACATGTAGAAGTTCGAACTGGTCCCTCATGTAATCCAACTTTCATAACATAGTATCTCTCGTTACCTTTCACCTTTACAATTTCATATGGTCCTAAATACTCTCGGCAAAGCTTCAGTCCAGGTCCAAACTGGGTTCTCTTGATGGCTACTAAATCGCCTTCTTTATAAATGTTAGGTTTTCTTCTTCTTAAATTATAAGCATGTCTATTTTCTTCTTGAATCTTAAATAATTGTCGTCTACTCTCGTCTCGAACTTTTTCACGTCTTTCGTCAAATTCTTTAATGATTTCAGCTTACAACAATTCCCGAATTAAGAGATCTTCTTTGCTACGCGTTTATACTCCTATAAGTACTTCAAATGGGGAAGCAGCAATACTTCTTTGAACTGTGCAGTTCATGTTTCTCTGCACTGTCAACAAATTTATACCAGTTTGTCTTGTAGACTGAGTTTGGTTAATACTGGAATAATAACACGATTAACTCTTTCTACTTGTCCATTACTTCGTGGGACACCAGTAGTTATTAACACATGTTTTATTCCTTCTTCAGCACAGAACGTTTGAAATTCTTGGCCAGTAAAAGCTGTACCACGGTCACTAATAATCCTTGCAGGATTACCAAAAACTTGTTGCTGTTTCTTTAAACAATCTACAACCTCTTTAGACGTGGTTGACTTCGTAGGGTATAGCCAAGTAAACTTAGTAAAATCGTCTATAAATACAAATATGTGTCGATAATTCTTATTAGTACTAGCCAGTGGCCCTAGAAGGTCAACATGATAAGTATTCAGGGGTCCTTCCACTTTAGAGATTGGATGTAACCATCCTTCTTTTTTACTACTCTTTTTGTTACCTAGGATACAAGGATTGCAATTTCAAATACAGTCCTGTATTTTCTTTTTTAAATTGGAAATGCAAAATTCTCTTTTAACAAGTTCTTCCGTCTTTGACACTGCGAAGTGTCCAGTTTCATGAGCTCTTTTAATAATTTCTGGTTGCATTGCCTTCGGAACCACTAGTAATTCTTTTCCGTCTTCAAACTTATAAAGTACATTGTTTTTGAGGAAATATTCCTCGTAGGTTTCTTCGTTTTCTAATATTTTCTTTAACGCCTGTACGTATTCATCTTTTCCTTGTGCTTTGTATACGTTCTAACACTCCATTCTCCTTAGAAATATCCTCAGTAATTGTCATCAGCGTAACGAGATATCTGCTTAGTGCATCGACATGCGCCATTTGGTTACCTTTTCTATGCACAATCTCATATGTGTATTCCTCCAAAAGTAAAGCCCAACGTACAACTCCTGTTGTGAGATATTTTTTATCCATTGTACGTTGAAATGCGGCACAATCTGTCACTATTCGAAATTTTTGATTTAGCAGGTACACTCTAAATTTTTTAACAGCATGAATAATAGCGAGAACTTCTAACTCGTAACTATTATATTTTTCCTCCGCAGGTGTTGTTTTTTTGCTCATGTAGTATATAAGGTGAAATCTGTTGTCATCATCTGATAATTGCAAGCAAGCTCCGTAGCCATGCTGGTTGGCGTCAGTATGTAGTTCTATATCATTTCCTTGTTTATATAAGCTTAACACGGGTTTAGTAGTTAAAAGATCCTTTAATTTAATAAATGCCTTCTCTTCTTCTAATTCAAATTTAAAATAATTTCCTTTTCTCAAAAGGTCACTGAGTGGCTTTGCTATAACACTATAACAAGGAACAAGTTTTCGGAAATACCCTGTAAGTCCTAGAAAGGATTAAACTTATTTAGTCGTCGTAGGTTTTGGAAATTTTCTTATTGCCAGAGTTCTTTTATTGGACGGTTGCTCTCTCCCATTTTCTATAATAAATCCTAAAAATTCCACTCTCTTCTTTAAAAATTGACATTTTTGCTTCTTGATCTCTAAACCATACTCTTTAGCTACTTGAAAAACTATTTTCAATCTTTCCAATCCTTCATTTTCGTCCTTATTAACACTATCAAGTCATCGATGTTGTACATCATAATATTTCGTCTTGTCAAATCTCGAAAGATGTAAGATATATATCTTTGAAAAACAGCAGGACTATTGCAAAGGCCAAATGGACACTTTAAAAATTCATATTGCCCACTGGGTGTAACAAAAGATGCTGTTCTCCGCCACGACCACATGGAAAAAACCATTTTTCAAATCTATGGTGCTGAAACACTTAGCACCTTCTAACTGATCTAGAACATCCTCAATCAAATGTAGTGGAAAACGATGTTTAATAATATTCTTGTTTAATTTGCGATAATCACAGCATATTCTCGTAGATCCATCTTTCTTTTTAACGAGTAATATTGGGCTTGCATAATCTGATGAGCTAGGTCTAATTATATCCTCTTTTGTCCTTTCCTTAATTTGTCTTTCTACTATTTCCTTTTCGGTTATAGCTAGTCTGCATGGCCTCTGATAAATAGGTTCATCGTTTTTAAGCACTATACTCATTTTGATATCAGTGGTCTTTGATTTTTCTGCTTTGTACGAATTTATTAGTTTCTTAAGTTCATTTCGGTATTTATGATCTTCAATATGTCGAAACATTAAATCCTCATTGCCATCATTTTCATCTATTGCAATATGCATCAGAAAGTTATGTGTTTGCTTAGGAAATACTACTATCTCATTATCTCTTATATTTATATCTACTTGAGACAATACATCGTTTCCTATTATTGCCCTGAAACTGGATGCAGCCGTAGGGATAATGTGAAACTTTAATGTAACTTCTTCTTCATTCACCTTTACTGTTTTACAGTATGTTCCCAGAGTATTTGTTGTAGTTTGACCAATCCCTCTTATCGATATTGAGTCTTTATTTAAAACAGTTTCTGAAAAATGTCCGTCAAATATATCTTTTCGAATAGCAGATATATCGCTCCCAGTATCTAACAATGTAATTAGTTGAACACCGTTGATCTCT